GGAGCGGCTGGAGGGAAACTGGCACGCCCGCCACATCTCTTGGGGACCAGCTCCTTTCCAACAGCTTCTTCCTCGTCTCCTCCAGCAGTGATCAATCAGTCAGGCTCTGGCGGCAGTTTGATGGAGAATTAGTCGCTGCTCTGAGCCGCTCTTATCAGCCGGCGCTGGGGAACACATCTAGCGTCTTCGTCTGCGGAGCTGAGAGCGAGGGACGGTCTGGGCTCCACGGCGCTCCCCGATTATGGCAGGAGTGAATCCTTCTGCTCTCTACCCTCTCCGCCTCCTGTTTTTACTGTGAGTGTGTTAGGCTTATGTCTCTCTCTCTCTTCCTCTCTCTCTCACACACACACACACACACACACACATCGTTTTTCTCCACGCTCATCTCAGGCTGATCTGTGAAGAGTGTTTTGCAGCTATCAGAGAAGATAGTTTTGATGGCCATTTATGATGCAAACTTATCCTACAGGAGCTCAGAATACAAGCATGAGGGAAACGAGGGAAACGATGTGTAATGTAATGTTAACAGCACCAGGAAACAATAGGCAGCAGTTGCACTTTGTATTTAAATATTATGTGTTAAAATAACTTGTTTTACCATGCAAATGATTTACAGCTGAATAAAATCGTCTAATCTGGGACAGGAGTTGCAGAAATATGTTTGCTGGACAATGAACGTAATGAAAAATATATTGTATTTTAGTTACTGCTATGTTTATAATCCTTATTGTGGTTACAACTGGAACATGTGTTGCTCTTATGAATATCTGACTTTTATTATAGCCCTCTGAGATAAAGATATTACATGATTCAGATCGACCTCACATTCAGACAGTCAAACAAGTAGAAACACGCAGATGCAGATGTGTTCAGTTAAACATTAAAAGATGGAAATATGGTTCATTTTTCTAGGTCATATGTCCGGTCTCCTTTAAATATTGCTGTAATGTGAGATTTCATGATGTTGATTTTTAAGTGCCTCTTGTTGTCTCATACATTTCCATGTACTTTTTATTTGTATTAAAGAAATGCACATTATTTCATGAAATTATTATGAATAAAGACAATGAAAATCGAATGTCGCATGACATTTCTTTATGCATTCTGTTCAGTCGTGTGTCTCGAGTGAAATGTAACACTTCAGGATTTGAGTTCTCATTCCAGTGGCATAAAATGTTGAAATTCAAACTTTTTTCTTTAGCGGAACCAAAGGGTAATCTACGCTGATCTAATATACTAAACGTGCTCATATGTTTAGCAGTCTCATCTCTGTACTTTACCCTTGAACTGCCTCCAGATCCTGTATAACATAGCGATCTGGATAGGCATCATAATTACAGCCGCTCTGTCTCTATCACACACTCGTGTGATCGTAATAGCACTGGCCTTTCTGTGGCCATGCATCGTATCATATGCGTGCGAGCTGAAGCTAGTCCATCACATTAGCTCACGCTGTGCTTCAAACTCCAATCACCACTAAATGCTGGAAATGTCAGACAGGATTGTTTTGATTGTGACCCTGGAGCACAAAACCAGTCATAAGGGTCAATTTTGTGAAATTGAGATGTATGCATCATCTGAAAGCTGAATAATAAGCTTTCCATTGATGTATGGTTTGTTAGGATAGGACAATATTTGGCTGAGATACAACTATTTGAAATTTTCAATACATTTTGACCCATACAATGTATTGTTGGCTATTGCTACAAATATACCCCAGCGACTTAACACTGCTTTTGTGCTGCAGGGACACATATCTGTGTTTGCATGAAATATATGCACACTATGTGACGATATCCATCCAGTAGCAAATGTCACACACAGTAAAGTCTGTATGCACAGACCAGTCTCTAAACCCCTCTTCTCAGATTAATATAAATTATTTGACATTTCTGTAAAATGTCCTCACATCATGCCAGCACATAACGAGCGTCCATCACGTTCCATACGATGAGTATTTTATCATGTAAAAAGAAACACCTCCACTGGTGGAAATGGTTTGTGTGACATTTAAAGAACACAAGCGTAATTCTGATGTTAAATGTCATGTTTTTGGTTTGAGACACAGGGTGCTCATGGATCAATATCTGACTGGTGAATAAACAAGCTTTTGGTTTCATAACGCTCTGCTGTCGGCTTTTTTTCTGTTTTAACACACATTGGGAAACTGTTGTTACGCTCTTGTGAAAGATGGCAGGAAAGACGTGACAGACAGCAGCCTGATGATTAATGGGATTTTCTTGTTTGCGTCAGACGTGCTCAGATGTAAGGACTCGTGTCCCTCAGTCGTGAAGACGGCAGTGAATCTCTGCGCTCGGCTTACGCTGCTCTGGACGTGATCATTCAGCACCATCTGAAAAACATGTCCTGTCGCTCACATCCCAGCTTCATCCAGCTCTGAGCAGCAGCAGACGCTGTTAAAGCACTGGGATTTACACAAACATTACCAGTAACAGCTGGTGGATTTCTGCACATGGGCCTTCACTGGGGCTAAAACACTGCAAGTGAAAGAAACTCATTTTTATAAAGAATTCATTTTTATTTCATTTTCATAAATACATATATGTGTGTACGTCATTTCGGTTACACTTTATTTCGATAGTCCACTTTAGACATTCTATTAACTATAAGTAACTTTGTAACTACATGTCAACTAGATGTCTACTAACTCTCAGAGTAGACTGTTAGAGTAGGTTTAGGGTTAGTAGAATGTTGACAAAGACAGTGTTAGCAGATATTAAGCAGACAGTCTACTAATACTCTACTAACTGCTAGTTGACATGTAGTTGCAAAGTTACTTACTGTTAATAGAATGTCTAAAGTGGACTATCGAAATAAAGTGTTACCGTAATTTCTTTTAAAAACTTTTTGTATGCATTTAGATTGTTTTTTTTTTTTAAGACATTGGTTTGAATTTCACCAGAAACTGGGGACTCATTTATAAAATGTTGCGCAGAAACCATCCTAAAATGGATCTTACGATCATCTCTCAAATATGCGTACATATGATTCATAAAATGAACGTATGTACAGAAAACGCATGTACACGTGTCTTTCAGATGTGAAATCTATGAATCGCAAATGATCTTGAACTGAATGGTTTCAGCTTTCTGCTTGTAAACAACTCCTAATTAATGTAATTAACGTAAAAGATCACCAGTCATCGTCCAAATTCTTTACTTTAGAACGGCGAGCTGCAAGAACTGCTTACATTTCCAAAAACCTGCAGTGCTCCGACAAGAAAAAGCGCATACGTCTGCTCAGACCCTGACGTGACGCTAAACACTTTTCCAGTTTTTACAAATATGAGCGCTGGCGTGGATTTAAGTGCACACACACTCTAAGATCAAATCTGAGCGTACGCACGCTTTATAAACGAGGCCCCTGTTGTGTGATTGTTCCTGTGACATGCTTTGTGATTGGTGGATACTACTCCATCTGACTTTCCTATTGGTTAATTATAAGCTTGAATCTTGTTTTGGTTTGTATTTAAATGAGTTTATTTAACATGAAATCGTTTAACCCTGATGAAAGCCTGTCTTCCAAAATGTGTCAGAAAGTGGAACAGAAAAGAATAAGACTTTTTATTTTGAGAAAAGAAGTACTTCTTTATTTTGACTTCTCCACTCTGCAAGTGTTGCTGATATTGCTTTAAATACCTGTGTTGATTTGTTTTACGCACCTTGTTGATTTTGTGAAGTTGCTCCAGAATAACCACACAAAACCTTTATTACTAAAGCACTGGAAATGCCAGCGAGAAGTAATTTATGTGTTTGTTTATTTATTTTTTTGGGTGATCGTTTGTTATAATGTGTTAATGCATCTCAGTGAGACCCCCTGTATGGCTAAGTGATGGAAGATGTTCAGAATTATATTTGTGTGCACATGTACAAACTGCACACACGTGGCCTTTAACTATTTAAGTTTGACAATCGTTGAAAAACTGATGTTTCACTTCATCCTCTACATTAGATAACACTCTTGAGCAGTGTTGGGCTAGATACTCAAAAATGTACTTTATTACTCATTATTAGTTACTCCTTTCAAAAGTAATATTATTACATTACTTACTACTTTCTGGCAACAGTAATTAGTTACACTACTAGTTACATTACTTTTCTTTCACACCCCACAGAAGTTGTAATTGTGTATATCTTACCCAAAAAATATCTTCTAGAATGTTACTAACAATATATTTCTGCCTCATCATTTCCCTTAAATAAAAAAAAAAAGTTCTGACAAACACTCAGCGGTGATTGATAGTGATAAGTAAAAGTGTTGTATTATTCACATTGTGTAGCTTGAAGCTATCATTTCTCTGTTACACATGTACGATCATATTTCATGATGTATTGTATTAAAAGAAATCACATAAGTTCATAAGAAGATGTTTAGTTTTCTAAAAAGATTTTTAATTCTAGTAATACAGTTTATATCAGGATCAGAGAGATGTGGGTGAGAAACCCATGTAATGCCCGAGTAAAGTAATGCCACAACTTACACATCTTTTCTCCTCACAAAATCAGTGTCATGCCAATATTTCCATATTCCTTCATGTGTTCATGAGTCGTG